GAAAGCAAAGAGCCCCCCCGCCCCGCCCGATTTAAAGGGACCGTTTTTCCGTACAGCAGCGGACACCTAGCGAGCGATTACTACGTGCGGGGCGCTTTTACTTCCCACTTTCCACCCACGGACCTGCGAACCAGCATTACCATGCCCGGGGTCCAGGGGAGGGAAGCCAGGGCCGGTGAGGGCGAGTCCCACGACGCCCGGCCTCAGTTTCCCCTCTGTACTGCCCATTCACAGCACCACGCCGATCGCGCGGTGACTCCAACTCCAGACCGACCTCCCCTTAAGGGTCCTGTAGCTCCGGAAGCCCCTAGCCGCGAACCCGAAGCCAGTCCGCTCAGCGCCAAACCCCCGACTCACCTCTCAAGCGGCCGAACCCCGACCCACCGACGGCTGCGCCTGCGCACCGCGGCGTCGCCCGGCCCCGCCCCCCAGTCTGGACGCCTGCGCGGAAGGAACCCTCTCCCGTCGGCTTTCATTCTGCGCAGGCGCATCAATTGTCCAGGCAGAAGTGGGGGAAGTGACGCAATTTAGAGGCGGGAACGAGCTGGTCCTTAGGGCAGCTGACCTCTGCGACCGAATCAAAATGGACTTGTCCTCTAGAACGGTGCACGGTAGGACAGTGACTGATTCCTTGCTGGTAGGTGGAGCCGGTCACATGGTGCATAGCCGGCCACGTGGTGCAGCTGCATTTGGGTCTTTGGTGCCCAGAGCCGTCATCGGCGCTCTGTGAATGGGAACAACTGTTATCCATTATCTTAGTTCCTTTATTCACCTACTCATTCACCCACTCACCAGCAAACGCATTCTTTCGTTCATTCAATCCATACTACGTAAAGGAATACAGAAATTGTTCACAGTAGGTGCCTAGTGGTCAACAAGTATTTATTGCAAACTAACTGTAAAGACCAGCAAAGTGTTTGCTCTCATTATTTTGTATTGGGGTAGACGAATTATAAAATAGTAAACTAATGAATTCATAAATTAATGAATTTCACTTAATGGGAAGGACTATGAAGAAATATGGGGTGTTGTGATCGTGACTGGGGAGATAAGTTGGCTGGGATGGTTAAGGAGGGCCTCTTTTTAAATGCGGGTTTGGAGGATGAGGAAAAACACTCCAGGTACAGCGAACAGTGAAAATGAAGACTAAAGTAGAATTAAACTTGGTGTGCTTAATACAGAGTGATGAGAAATTCCCTAGGATGACTCAGAACTGCCCTCCACTAATGTTAAAAGTTGCCAGAAGGGTTCTTCCGATTCATTTTTATCCTATTTAAAACGCACGCATATTTAACGCCATGGATTATTTTAATTTCTTCTGCAGAAATAAAAGAGGTGGGAGTTTTTTGCAAGTTTAATTCTAGTAAAATTTTCTTTCTGGGTGCCTTAGGCGGTTCAAGATTTTGTTTTAACCGGCAGCACTAGATATAGGTCAGGTTACTTGCACTCTTCCAAAACACCTATTGTTAGAAGTTCTGGATCCGTTTATTGAGGCTTCCTTGGTGGTACTTAATTACTTACGTTTCTCTTTTTCTTTTTTTTTAAGGTAGAAAGGAGGCAGGCACAAATTAATCCGGGGACTTAGAAGCCCAGGCAAAGTACTGGCAGAGAGCCGCAAACGTTCAGACGCGCCAGCTGCCTCGCTCTGTCTCTTTCGCCCCAGTGGCTCGCGCGTGCGCAGTGTGGGTGGAAGGAGCCGAGAGGGGCTCGGACTGTGGGTGGAGCTGAGGCGCGCGTGCGCCCTACCCCCGGGAGCACGCGCCCTCCCAGCGTTCAGTGGGCGCGCGGGCGGTGGGTGCCTTAGTGGTGACGGTGGCGTCCACTGAGCGGACGGAGTTGGCTGGCCCCGGCAGCTGAGGCGGCCCCACGCGGATCAGGTGGAGAAGGAGGCCGGCGGTAGACACCGGCCCGCCATGAAGCCCCCAGCAGGTACCAGCCACCTTTCGGTGCGGCCCCGCTCGCGGGACCTGGGCGCCTCCTGCACCCTCGTGCCTTTGGGGGTCTTGACTTGGGCCTTAGAGCGGAGCCCAGTGACCCTCTAGTGACTAGGGCCTTGGAGAGGGGTCCTCGTCTCCTCGGTGGCAGAATGAATGAACCAGCTTTTCGAGCGCCTCACTCATTCAGCCAACTTCATGTGCCTTCTGCTAAGGACGGGTCGGGTTCTGAGGTGGACTCTGGGAGAGACTATGAGTCCTAGATGCTGTTCCAGAGCGGGAGACAGACGTTCAGCAAGCAAAGAAGCTAGCGAGGGCTTTAGAGAGTGGTCAGTGCCGGGGCTGGTGGCACTTTTTAGAGAGGGCATCCTGGAGGGCTTCTGGGAGGAGGTGGCATTTCAGCCTGTACTCGATGGGGACAAGCCTCTCTCTGCCAAGACCTCAGAGGAACATCCAAGTTGGCTGTGACCGTGAGGGCAAAAGCCGGGAGGCAGGAACAGGGGTAACTTATTTGGGAGAGTAATACGTCATTTTGGCTAGAGGACAGCTTTTATTTTAAGGGCAAATGGGTCCTATGGACAGGTTTTCATTGGGAGCGATGTGACTTGTTTACTGTATTTTAGAAAATCGCCCAGGTTGTGTAGTGCCTCCCGGAATTTTCCCTTGCCCGTCCGTCTATCCTTCCCCAATTCTTTCGCCAGTTCATTATGATGGTGATGTTGATAATTGTATTAATGATAATAATTACAACTAGGGTTATGGAGGACTCAGGAAGGCAGAGAATGTTGTCTGCCTTGTTTGCTGGAGGATTGTTAGCTTGGGGACCGGTTACATAGATGGTAATCAGTAAATATTTATGGAATGAATGAATGCATGTGCATTTGAATTTTTTCAAATTCTAGCTCCTCCAGGAAGTTTTTCTGACACTTCCAGCTCACATGGATCTCCCACCTTTCCTGAGCTCCTAGAGCCCTTCTTTACCACCAAATTAATACAGACCTACAGTCCCTTTTTGGCACTTCTGAAATTTAAAATACTCTGCAAATAGAAAGATTTCCCCGAAGTTCGCAGCAGTCTTTTGGCTAGAAAATCTGACCTGTGCTGACTTAAAAGCTTTTTCCTTCTTAGTGTATATCAGTGGTCCTCAGCTAGGATGATTGTACCACCCTCGGAGACCCTGGGCAATGGGGACATCTATGGTTGTCATGACTGGGAATGTTCCTGGCGTCGAACGGATTGGGGACCAGGGATGCTGCTCAGCACCCCAGAATCCCCAGGACGGCCCTACCCCATAGAATGACCCAGCCCCCAATGTTAATAGTGCTGTTCAAAAACCCTACCCCAAAGATACCAATACAGGTCCGAGCTAGCACACCTTTCAAAGGTCCCCAGTGTTCACAAGATGGGGAGTCCAGGACCACTTTGGCCCTGCTCAACTCCTGGCTGGCCAGAAGGGGAAAATGAGGCACAAAGCTGGGTGTTTCCTGGAGCAGCCCCTTCTTGTTTATGACACATTCCACACCCACCCTGTTCATTAACTCAACAAGTAATTTGGGACAGGTGTAGCCATTCCAGACCTACAGGTGCTATAGGAATGCCATGGCAGAGCCTCCTTGAGAAAGGAATGTGGAAGGGAAGACTGGCAGGGCAGGGCCTCAGGGCAGAGAAGACAAGCTGCAGGAAAGCCCTGGAGACTGAAGGCCAGTGTGGCTGGGCATAGCAGTTGGCAAAATCAGCTGGCAAAACCTACTGTATAGGACCCAGTAGTGTGTGGACAATGTAGATCAGGGGTCAGCAAACTGCTCTATAAGGGGCACATGGTTTAGACTTGGCTGCCACATACTACCTCCCATGTGAAATCACTTTTAGCTCATGGGCTGTGCAAAATCAGGCAGGTGTAGACTTTGATGAGAGGTTTGAACTTGATGAAAGGTTTGCAAGGTGGAGCCCTGGGAAGGGGACAGGAAGTCCTGACAACCAGATGTGCAGATTTACAAAGGTGGGGCGAGTACAGTATACCAGTTCACAGTGTGGGAGTGGAATCAGACTTTGGGTATGAACCCCACCTCTGCCACTTGTTGGCTGTGGGATCATTGTGGCAGGAGACTTGAATGCTCCAAATCTCAGGATTCCCACCCATAAAACAGGCAAATGGGATGCAGAGTGCAGAACTGTCAGAATTCAGAGGGAAAGAGGGCAAAACATCTTACACTCTGAACCTTACACGGAAGTTGTCAAGTGACTTCTATTAGTACAGACCACAGTCACTTATCCAAAAGCTCTCAGGGCTAGGGATATTTCAATAATCAGGATTTTCCCCCTACTTTAGAAAGGTAATACAGTGCAAATGTCACATTTTACATCCAGGGAGGTTGGGAGTTTCACCTTGTAATTAAATTATTCTTTGAGTGAAATGCAGGTGTATACCAAATGTCCACCTCACCACACTTGATGTTTGGGGCCAGGTCACTCTGTGAGGGGACCATCCTGAGCACTGTGGGGTGTTGAGCAGCATCCCTGGCCCCTACCCACTTGATGCAGTAGCATTTCCAGTCCTGGTGACCACAAATGTCCCCAGACATCATCCATTGTCCCCTGGGGAGCAGAATCATGTGCTCTAGAGGACTGGTTAACCTGTGCATCCCCACAAAACCTTTGGGCCTTGCTCATCTGCAGAGACACAGTGGTCCTCTCCTGTTCCTCATTCCCCTCTCTCCCACCTAGTTACTCTGACCCTAATTCTAGAATTCTGGATGTGAAGCAGATGCTTGGTATGGAGTTTTGTCCTCTGTGTAGCCTGTGTAGGAGATGCCCTGGATATGGCAGCCCCCTGCTCTGTGGTGAACTACCTGAGATGGGACCTGAGTGCCCAACAAATAGCAGAGCTCACGACAGAGCTCATGGAGCAGACCAAGCGCGTGTATGACCAGGTGGGCTCTCTGAAGTTCGAGGATGTGTCCTACGAGAGTACGCTCAAGGCCCTGGCTGACGTGGAGGTGTCCTACACAGGTAGGTCCAGGTCAGGATCTGGGCAGGGAGCTCCTGGACCCTTACCCTGGGGTGGGGCCACCCATCCCCTGGGGTCATGGTGGGTAAACGTGCTGGCGAGGGTAAAGGTACCCAGCAGGTGTGGTCCATTCCCATGAGCGCCCTGCTCCACTTTGCCACCTGGGACAGTCGGTCCTCACAAGCATGTCATCTGAGGGCCCAGAGGGGACAACAGCACCCCTCTCTGAGATCCAGCTCAGGTGCCTGCCTTGAAACTGGAGCCCTTCTCACTCCTTTCCTAGTCCTAGGGGGTATTTGTTTTCTCTCTTGAGAACTGAACTGAGAACTGAACTTGGTCCTCTTACTT